AAGGTTACAAAAAGTGTTCACTGTCTAAGGTTGCTCTAGTTACCTACTATCTTAAAAGAAGTAGATATAGGATAACATCATACAGGAAAAACTATTGATGTTACATAACTGATTTTTTATCTAGTATGCAATATATAAAAAAATTATTTTACAATCTGGTATTGTAAAATAATTTTTTATATGTTGCATATCAGTGAAGAATTAGTTATATAACATTGATGATTTTTTTTGTAATATAATTTAGCTGTTTAAGACAATGAATTTTTTTTGTTTACGAATTGCAGCATTAAGATATCTTTTCAAAATAATATAATATTAAAATTTTTTTTCATAACTACAAGAAAAACTTTTTTCTTAGTAAGGACTTTTTTTTTTTATATACAGTATATATATAAATTTTAAATAAACACTTATAAAATAGATAATAATATTACTAAAGAAATAAGCAATAAGGAAAATTTAGCAATATTTGAAGTATGCAGAGTTTTAGTTAATCAGTCAAGTGAAGTTTTTTTTACTAACAAATATGCAATATTTAGATTGCATATTATATTAGAAATAATAAAATCAAGTTAGATACATCATCATGTCTTACTCTTGATCAAAGATGTGCATTTCTTTTTAATATTAAACAACCTTTTGAGGTTCAAGAACAAGAATTTGATAAAGAATAATGGCCTCTTGTCACAAATATATAGGCAAGATACAATTCTAAAAACTATAACAATGGCAATTCATAGGTGGCATATGCATGCTAATTTACAAAATATAAACTATCAAGCATTCATAAAGAAGGAGTTTTAAGCAAAAAATATAAAAAAACAAAAGTTCATTTATCTGATTTATGTCATGCAAAAATTAGAGCTTTGCAATTTATGAATGTGCAAAAAATACTTGTTGAATGATATCTAAACAGTTTTGATTATACACATATTATCGAAAAGAGTAAAAAGTTAAAATGTTCTTAGCTTGCTTGTAGCTTGGTTAAGAAAGAAGCTATTAAAAATTATCTGCTCCTAGTTATTGTTAATGCAATCAAGAAGTATGTAACTAAAAGGTTAAACCTTGGTTCTAGTATAAAAGAATTAAAAAGAATAGAGGTTTACAATATAAAAAAAAAGGTTTACAGACCTCAGGATTTGTATTTTATAAAAAATGAAAGTTTAAAACTAAACATTGAAGAATCTATTTTTTTTTAAAAAAAAAAAGAATATCAAATAGAACATTATAGCCAGTTGGCTTAGGGTTTCATTTTTGCATATCTGAATTAGCTTGAAAAGCTTTGCTGTTTTGGGTAATTAACATTGATTAATTTGACATATAAGACTAATAAATACAATTAAAGATTATTTACATTGTATATTCATGACAACTATGGCTTTTGAAATGTTAGAGCCTATTTTTTTATTAGTAATGAAACCAGTGAGATGGTTGCAGAGGCTCTTAAAATAATTTAGTGTTTTAAAAGTTCTTGAATGCCTTATAACTTTCTCTTTGATTAAAGTAATGTTAAAACAAATAGCATTTTAGAGGCTTTTTCTAGTTTATCAAAAAGTAAACAGATATATAAAGTTCTTTTTTGTACTGTTTATGTGGTTTATACTTGGATAAGTAGAATTTACAAACAAAAGGTTTAGAGCAAAATGATATGTGTAATGCATAAAGTAACTAAAACTGGATGTTATGAGTTTATCAAGAATGCAATTAATAATTGTCAAATTCTCAACATTAAATGATACATAATATAAAATTATGTAAAAAATATTAATCGATAGGCCCTTTGGCCTGACAGTATTTTCTTCTTCTTTTATAAATAATATTAACAAATGCAACAGAATTGTATCATAGCAAATTGAAGAAATTAACGATTTCTCATTATGGGTTAATAGGTAGCTTTTGTATATTTGTATTTATGTTTTTGATTAGTATATATTGTAATTTATTTGTATAATAAATAAATATTATAATGAAGCTAGAGACAGCTGAAGTTAAAAATTTTAATTTTTGTAAAACATTTTTTAGCTTTTTTTGTAATTAGATTAAAGCTTAGAGTTCTAATTTCTAGCTTTAGCTACGACAATAAATTAATTTAAAATTAATTTAATTTTTGTTAAAAGTTTTATTTTATTTAATTTTATTTTTGTATACAATGCTTACAAGTATAGTTTAATAAACATATTAAATATTATTTAATATTATTTAATAGGTGCTTGTAAAAAGTAGTTACACTCAATATGAAAAGACAATTGGATTCAGAAAATACAGTCTTTGAATTCTGTATTAAGCAAATATCAGCTTTTGGTATAAATTATGAAACTCTTAACCAAATTTATAAGTTTCTGTTCCCTATATAACAACTAATTATTAGTTTTTTTTTGTTTTTTTTTTAGTATTAAGGTGACCTCTTTAATCATAGCTTTTTATTAATACTTAGATTAATACATATTTTATATAGATGTATTTATAATAAACTATCAGATGAGTGTATAACTAGCTATATGTGTAATTTTTTATATTACCTATTTAAGAAGTCCACTCGAAGGTTCTCCACTAGTTGCTGTACCTAATACTCCTGCTTAGATGTTTCATTTAAACCCTCTGATCTGACTCTGGTATTAATTTTACTGAATTACAGATCTAAATATTTTTACTTTTAACTATAGGACTATAATCCTTAGACTATTTTTATTCTCAAGATAAATCTATCAAAGCAAGTCATATTTCCTTTTACTGCTAACCTGGTTTGATGCTATAGCTGAGACCAATACTTGCAATCAGAGTTACTTCTTAAACTGCTATTACCCTTGTAAAGTTTATCTAAATCCTTGTACCCATCTTTTTAACTTATTCATTATCATCTTCTACTAGTCACAACTCAGAACTAACTGACTTTCCAGACTTCCAATTCAGATGGTCTAGTATGATATACTTATATATTCTTTTTCTTTGATGATTCTGGCAGCCTAGTTGGTTATTTGCTCCTTTACACATCTTGTCATCTGGTTTATTCGACAGTTTCTATAAAGGTGTTTCATAGATTTCTATTAGTTCAATAGCACTATCAAAAGTTTGTGCTACTTCTTTACTTGGAATTTTTAAGTGAGTTTCTGTCTTCTCGGTTTTTTAGCATTCTATGCCCAATGGTCTTATCATGGGTTTGCATCAAAGCCTTATATGACATTAGTTTTTTACATTCTTTTATGTACATGTAATGTTATACTTCACATAGATGTCCCAAGCTCCCAATGTCAGATGGGATCCAACTTGGTATACCTAAGATTACAAATGCTCAAAACCCAACTGATTGGCAAGAAACAGTTAACATAACACAGATATAATTTCCAAAATTTGTCATCTGTGAGAATTGAACCTTAGACTTGCCACTTGAGGATTGACAACCTATTTACTTTACTAGGTTACCACATTCTGTATAACTAATTATTAGTGAAGTTCATGCTGTAGAAAAAAGGATAGAAAAAAGTAAGAAGGTTTTAAGGTCTTATGTCTTTCAAGTGTTATTGTTATTTTTTCTGCCAGTACTTGCTTTTATGCCAGCATATATTTCATAAACAACTATATAAAGAAAAAAAAATGCTAACATTTAGTGTTTAGAAAGAGTTTCAATGAATGTTTGTAGAGAGTAAATTTGAAGTATATATTAATTATAAGTTAGTAGAAATTGATTTGCTCAAGAAAACAGAAGCTGAAAAGGCTGCAAATAAACAGTGCTTAACAGTAAATGAGTTACTTGAACAGACATGTAATGCTTACTAGAGAGTTGAAAAAAAAAGGCAATTCATTACAAAAAATTGTATTTATTGAAGTGTTAGAATCTTCTTTGAATGTAGTCTTAAATCTGCAAAACAACACAAAATAAAAAAAAAATAAAATAAAAAAATAAAAAAAATATCAAAAAAAAATCAAAAAAAAATCCAAAAAAATTAAAAAAAACATATTTTTCTTATATTAGTTTTGTGCAATGAAATTGTATAGTTACTTATATTGAAACAGACAGAGTATTCTTATGTTAAATAAAAATAATAACCAAATTGATTATTAAATAGTAAGATGTTTAGCCAGAAAAAAGACCATCAAATATAAATAAATAAATAAATAAGCATCAAATAACATTTTCAGATAATTGATATTTTGGTTTATAAAAAAATGAATCGAATAAAACTAATATTAATTATACAAGAGTGACTTTGAACAGAGCACAAAATTTATTATAAATTACTGAGATTTTAGTAAGTTAAAAAAAAATTTTTAAATTTTATTACTAGCAAATTATATAAGTAAAATAAGATATATAAATATCTCTATTATATAGATTCAACATTCTCTCTAATAAAAGATTATTAGTTTACTAGCTTTGAGTATTAGTTTTAATAAAGAAAACATTTATACTCTTAGCAAAAGTAAAAAAAAAAAACTCAATAATTACCTGATTAGATTAGACAAATTTTTTATTTAAATTCTATCTATAAATTTTAAATAAAAAAGTTTTATCAAGGTTGGTCAAGTGGTTGCTATTTAAAATTAAAAAAATGATACAACTTTATTTTTATAGGTGTTCTAATTTTTCTCTTAGAGTAAAAATATCTTGACAACTACCTGATCAAAAACTAATAAAACTTTTTTATTGAATTCTATAAAACTATAGAATTTGAATAAAAATGTTTTATCAAATTTGATCAAATGGTTGTCAAGATATCTTGTTCTAAGTTTTAACAAAATTTGTACTTTGATTTTAATAAATAGCTTGCTTTTTTTTAAACTTTAAGTGAAGATATCTAGACAACTATCTGATTAAATTTAGCAAAAATTTTTTTATTTAAAGTCTAAGAATTTATAAAATTTAAATAAAAAAAGTTTTATCAAATTTAGTTAGAAGTTGGTTGTTGAAATATCTTCATTATTTTGTTAATATAAGTAACAGTAAATAATATGTACCAAATTTTGTAATTAACAACAGCTGCAGATCATTAGAAAATCTCATAATATACCTGGCTTTAAGTGATCTTCTAAAAGAGAAAAAAGGTTTCTAACATATGCAACAAACAAAAACTATATGTGATATTGGACAAACATAGCAGAAGATATGAAAAAAGAATTAGATATAGGAATTCTAATAGAAGATCAATGAAAAAAGTATATAGGTGCAGTCAAAAGGATAAGTGAATACATAATAGAGATTATGCTATACTTCAAGCAATTGGAGTTAGTAGTGATAGAAGTCTATATACTATCAAGTAATAAAATAACAGAAAAAATATTCAACAAAAGATTGTAGAAATGGGTACTAAGCAGAAAAAACAAATACAAGTCATGATTATGAGTGAATTTAATCATATAGCAAACAGTATATTAGATAGATAACATTCATAATCAGCAAATTTTAAAAGACTACCAATTTTTAATTAGATAAGAAAACAAGACTTTATAGATACATATAAAGATATGCATCCAACAAGTCAAAATTATACATAATTAAACAAGAAAACTGCAACAAGAATTGACTATATTTGGATGTTATAAGAACTGGTCTTGAGTTTGCAAAGGACAAACATTGAAGAAGCAAAAGAAATTATAAAAAGTAATTATAAAATAATAATTGCAGAAATATGAATTAAATATATGATAAGAAAAATAGCAAAACAGAGATTAAAAGAAAAGAACAATCAAAAACATTATATTTATATGATTAAGCAAAACCAAAAAATTGAAAAAGTTATACATAAGAGCTACAAAAGCAATTAGAAGTAAAAGAAAATCTAAAAAATATTCAACAAAAATGCAAGATATAAAGAAACATATAAACAAAATAAATAATATATAAGATACAATAGAAGAAGCAATTACCATTGCAGCAAATAAGCATATACCTCCAAAAAAAATATACAACATAATGGCAAATAGAAGAACTAGTCAGAAAGCACAATAACAAGAAAAAGATATCATAAAGCTACAAAGATTAATTAAATACACAAAGACAAGAAAGAACTAAAAAGTAACAGAAGAAAAAAAAAGTAAGACAAATGAACAATTAAAAGCATTAGGCAACAAAATAAATGCAAAAATGCCAAAATTACAAAGGCATTAGTCACATTCTGAATATAAGATATGAAAGGATAGCAAAAGTTTTACAAAAAAAAAGAAAAAAGACTGAAAACAAGCACAAAGAAAGCAAATAAAAGAAAATATAGACAAGAGATATGAAATGATCAAAACAGACCAAGAGAAAATGCTTGTCAGTCTTCTAAATTAACTATATAAAAAGATAACATTTAATAGACTCATTAAGCAAGAGGAAGAGAAGATATATTTAATAACAAAGTCAGAAAAAATTAAGACAAATGTAGCAGAACATTATAAAATGCAGTTTAAGAAAAGAAATACCAAATTAGAAACAATGACAGAAAAGTGAAAAGAGATATACAAACCAAGAGAAAATATTAGAAAAGAATAATATGCAGAAGTTGAAAGAAAAATTAAGAAAAAAGAATAGAAAGAGATACTAAGAGAGTTAAAAACAGAAACAGATTTGAGTATCTTAGATATAAGCTATATATTAATCAAAAGAACAGAAATGAAAACACAAAAAGTTTTTAAAAGCTTTACAGACTTATATTTAGAAATAGAAGAAATTCCAATAAAGTAGAAGATAGCATGAGTTTACTTGATATCAAAAAATATAGAATAGAGATATAGTTTAAATAACATTCATCTAATAGCACTAATTGAAACATTTAGAAAAATTGTGACAAAGATGATAACAAAAAAAAGGCTTGCCAAAGTATTTATGAAAAAAGAAATACTTAAAGGGTCAAACTTTGCAGACCTTCTAGGAACTTAACAGAGCAACTAGTACAGATTTTAAATATGATAATAAAGGAAGCAAAAGGAAAAGATAAAGAAATATAGATACTGTTGCAATATATGAAAAAGATATTTAACTTAGTTTCTCTTGAAAGTTTTGAACTAGCATTGCAAAGAGTTAAAATACCTAAAAAAACAATTAAATATATATTGAATCTTTTTTATAAGAGATAATTAAGAATTATTACAGCCTATGGCCTAACAGAACAACTAATAGCAGAAGATAGAATAGACTAAGGTAAAGTAATTTTATCATTAATATAGAGTTTCTTCTATAACTCATTATTAGAAAGAATTTAAGAAGATGAAAGTTTAGGGTATACAGTTGAGTAACAGTTACAAAGAGGTACACAATGCAACAATATTACAAGATATTGTCAAGTAGCAATTATATATACAAATAATACAAAATGAATTGCAAGCAGTAAAGAGCAATTGTTAGAGATCTTAAAAATAGCTGAAGAGTTCTTTAAAATGAATGATATAAAGATAAATGAATCAAAGTCAATATTAATAATAATAAACACAAAAATCTGAAAAGAAGAAAAAACAGTAATATATAAAAAAAAAAGATAATAGAAGAACCAAGACATAAAATAGTTCATTTATTGGGAATATAGTTAAACAACAGAATTTAAGAAATATAAGTAAAGAAGAAGGCAAAATAAATAATAAACCAAACTATAAGAAATCTAAAGTACAAAAAAATAACAATAAGGCAAATTGCATATATTCAAGCTAAGCTATATATTATAGCTAATGAAGATGTTAAACAGAAGTCTAAATAAAAAACATCAACCAATAATAAGTATGGCAAAACAAAAGTGTAGCTTATAAAGAACAGTAGAAAACTGTGTAATAGAGCACAAAGATCTTGGCAATTGTAGAACATTGTAACAAGAGTTAACTATAAAGCAAGTAAGTGGCTTCTTAGCAAGACTGAACAGACAAAACAGTCTTGAACAGCTAACAAGACTAAGAATAACACAAGGTTGTCAAAGAGCAAGTTTAGTAGAAGACATATAAAAAACAAAGAAGTAGTCAGGAATTAAAACATATTTAAAAAATAATTTAGCATGCCTTACAATATTCAAAGCAAGAAAACTAAAAATAAATATTAGAATAAAAAGTAAACTATAAACAATGTTAGAGTATAATACTAAAATACAAGAACTGATAGATGCACAATTGTAGAAAAAAGGAGCAGTTAGAGTAAATGAAACAGTTCTAATATATATAAACCAACTACTCGATATAAGGAAAGAAAAGTTGATCACATGACAGCAACTAAAAAACTATCAAGACCAATCGAGTAAAAAAAAAAAAGCAGAATGGTTCAAAGCAATTGAATAAAAAGTGCTCAGTAATTTAGAAAGTAGAGTAGTACAAGGATACTTTAGAACAGACAAACAGAATACTCAAACAATGCAAGTCAAATTGAAACATATATTAAAAAATAGAAGAAGAAAAAAATGAATAGTATATAGTATATAAGATCACAGACAGCTTGGAAAGATGATTAAAAAAAAAAGAAAAAAGTATTAATTGAATACTAACAAATGAAATGCAAAGAAAATGAAGTAGCAACTAAGATCAACAGATGTGAAAGGTGTATAAAAAAGAAAGAACAAATAGAAAACAGTTGCCAACAATAAATAAGAATAAACAAAACTATTAATATGATTCCAGATAGGTTAATAAAAAAGATAGCAATCAAATTAAGATAGCAACAGACTAAATAACAGACAAGACAAAGATAAACTGATCAAAAATAAATGAATGTAAGCTAAAAGGTCTTATAATGATAAGAGAACTAGAGATAGAAATTATTAAATGACAAAAACTAAAAAAAGATATTAGTCAAAAAATAATAGAAGTTCTAAATAAAATATTAT